TTAAACAGTTAAAAATAAATGTTTATTTAAATCTAACGTAATAAAATAGTTTTAGACGAAAACATTTCTGGTTACCTTCACTCTACAGTATAATTTTATATGGTCCAATAAACGTTAGGCATAATTTGCCTTCTAAGTAAAGTTGCGGGGATACTGATTATTACTGATAATTTTTGCATAGTGAATATAGACGTTCTATCGAAGCGAAAATGGCTTTTCGGTGATTTTTTGTTAGTGAAACGTTGTGTTCCCAAAAAGTACTTTAAAGTGTATAAATAAGTTACTCGGGCAATTGATTTACATCAGCCAATCAGACGAATGTCCTCCTATGAGGTTGCACCTAGGTATCTTCATAGGCAACCGGGTGAAGTTGGGCTTCTGTTTAGTCTTAGAAATAAATGTATATAGAATATATGTACTTAAAGCTAAGAGGTCAAGTCACGGCAAGACCTATCAAAGAAATAAAATAAAATAAAAAATTAGAATTTTAAAAATTTTTTAAAACTATTTAATTCTTTAATGAGTAAGTATTATGCAATAGCTCTTACTATTTTTTATTCAAATTGTCTAAATTGAACCTATTTTATTCATTCTTTAGTCCGTGAGGAAAAGAATATTTCTTAATTAAACCATTAAATAAGCTCATTTTATTTATATTATTTAGTTTGTGAGTATAAGAAGCTATTCAGGTTTATTGCTTCAATTTTAAATTATAAGTATATAAAGCATTTATTTAACCTAAGTATTTAAAATAAGCTATTTAAGTTCATGAAATTACTATTAAATTTTATTTTAGTCTGAGTATAAAGAACATTTATTAACCTAGGTATTAAAATAAGCTATTCAAGTTCATGAATTTTTTCTATTTGGTTTTTAATTTGTCGCGTTAATTTAGTTTGAGAGTAGAACATTTATTAATCTAAGCATATAATTAATTTCATTTATTCGAATTTAGTACGTATAAGAAAATATAGTTTTCATTATAAATATTTGAGCTTCACTTATTTTAAGTTAGTTTTAAGTTATGTTAGAGGGCTTAGTTATATTAGAAGTATAGATTTCATTATAAAATGTTTGAGTTCCTTAATATTTTTCGCTTATTTTAATTAAACAAGATCCTTGTATGACCGGGTAACGTCACCAGAAGAAAATTAACAAGTGCCCTTCAATAATAGTTTTCATAAGGGTTAATTGGTGTGATATTTTGATTATTTTGTGTTGGTTCTTGGTCAATAAATGCTTCGATAGTTGGAAAAAGAGGATTATAAGAGTTAATTGATGTGGTATTTTGATTCTCTAACGTTGATCCTTGGTCAATAAATGCCTCGATAGCTTCGAAAGGAGTAGTAATGATACGATTATAAATATGTAGGGTTCCGAAGTTTGAGTAAGAAGATTGAAATTCTTCATAAGGATTAATTGATGTGATAGTTGGTGTTGGTTCATGGTTAATAAATGCTTCAGTAGTTCTAAAAGAAGATTCATAAGAGTTAATTGACGTGATATTTTGATCATTTAACGTTTGTCCTTGGACAATAAATGATTCAGTAGTCGCGAAAGAAGGAATAGTAGTGATATGATTAAAAATATGGGAGGTTCCAAAGTTTGAACAAGGGGATTTAAGTGTATATTTGTTAAACATGCTAGCAATATAGGTTTTTTTTGTTTTATTATTCTATCTATTATTATTATAATCTTTTACTTTTTTTAACTTAATATTTTTTTTACTTTAATCAAATCTAAAATTTTTATCAAAATATTCTAGTTTTTTTTAAAAAAAAATTCTGTTAAATCTTTATTTGCTTATAATTTTGTTTATACTCACAATTGCTGCTATACTGTTTGAAAACACATATATGTTGCTATTTGTTAAAATAGTAAAAAAGCTAACTATATTGCAATAAGTTCAGACTTTATTGATAATAGCTAGTTTTTTATTTTTGCAAAATCTTTATATATTAATTACTTTTATTTTTGATTTACTTGTATCTAATTAATTTCTATATTATATCTATCTTTTTTATAAATTAGAAAACTATCTATATATATAGTATTAAAAAAATATATGGACGCACTAGGTTTAGGTTTAGGTTTAGGTAAAGTTAAATATCACTTGGGTGTGACACAACATGGGGATGTGAAAAATATCAAATTATATTAATAGCTTAAATATCACATAGATATATTTCTAAATATGAAAATTATAAATTTACTATAATTGGTTATACTGTATACAGATCAATTTAATTTTTTTTATATTTTTTTTAATCTTTAATTAAAGATATATTAACAATTACCTAACCAAATTTGATAAAAATTTTTTTTATTCAAATTTTACTATCTTTTACAATTAAAAAAAAAAGCATTGATTAAATTGGATAGGTGAGTGTCAAGATATTTTCAATCAAAGTTTGAACCACAGCTTATATTCTAGAATTTTACAAAACTTTGATCGAAGATATCTTGGCACCTATCTGATCAAATTTAATCAATTTTTTTAAATTCAAATTCTACTGCTTTCTATAATTAAAACAAAAAAAAAGTTAATCGAATTGGTTAGGTGGGTGTCAAGATATCTTCGATCAAAGTTTAACCCCAATTTTTATCATAGCTTAATATTTTAGAACTTTACAAAACTTTAATCGAAGATATTTTGACACCCATCTAACCTAATTCAATCAACTTTTTTTTATTCAAATTTTATTGCCTTCTATAATCAAAACAAAAAATGTTGATCGAATTTGATCAGTTGGTGCTAAGATATCTTCGATCAAAGTTCTATATCAATTTTTGCCACAGCTTATATTTAACAGATATTTTAAAATTTTACAAAACTTTGATCAAAGATATCTTGATACCTATCTGGCCAAATCCGATCAACTTTTTTTTTATTCAAATTTACTGCCTTCTACAATTAAAAAAAAAAAGCATTGATCGAATTGGACAGGTGAGTGTCAAGATATCTTCGATCAAAGTTTGAACCCAATTTTTGCCATAGCTTATATTCTAGAATTTTACAAAACTTTGATCGAAGATATCTTGGCACCCATCTAACCGAATTTAATCAACTTTTTTTAATTCAAATTCTACTGCTTTCTATAATTAAAATAAAAAAAAAGTTAATCGAATTTGGTTAGATGGGTGTCAAGATATCTTCGATCAAAGTTTAAACTCAATTTTTATCGCAGCTTATATTTTAGAACTTCACAAAACTTGATCGAAGATATTTCGACACCCACCTAACCAAATTCAATCAACTTTTTTTAATTCAAATTTTACTGCCTCCTATAATCAAAACAAAAAATGTTGATCGTATTTGATCAGGTGGTGCTAAGATATCTTCGATCAAAGTTCGATATCAATTTTTGCCGCAGCTTATATTTAACAGATATTTTAAAATTTTACAAAACTTTGATCAAAGATATCTTGATACCTATCTGATCAACTTTTTTTTTATTCAAATTTACTGCCTTCTACAATTAAAAAAAAAAAGCATTGATCGAATTGGACAGGTAAGTGTCAAGATATCTTCGATCAAAGTTTGAAACCAATTTTTGCCATAGCTTATATTTAGAATTTTACAAACTTTGATCGAAGATATCTTGACACTCACCTGACCAAATTCTATTCAAAAAAGTTGATCAAATTTGGTCAGGTGGGTGTTAAAATATCTTCGATCAAAGTTTGAAAACAACTTTCAGTTTATTATTATTATTTTACCACTTTATTTAAATTTTATTATTTTATTGATTTTAATTTATTTTATTTAATAATCTTTTTTTTTCATTTAACATTATTTATTAATTTATTTTAAACTAAAATAATCACCAACCGGACCAATACATATAAAATAATAAAATTACTCTATAATACAAAGGTAAGTATACATGACCTACGTATAATAATTTATTTACCTTAAAAATATATCGATCCTTACTAATTAATCCAATGCTAATTATAGTGAGTCATTCAGGTTCTTGAATACTTGATTACACAATACTCCTTACTGAGTAAGAAGCATTGCACAATCGAAATATTCAAGAACCTGAATGACTCACTTTAGATAATCACACGAACTTACCATAGTCGAACGAAGGCAAATTAGGGCTCCAATACAAATCGGGCATTCAATATATATCAGAATGCCAATAGTTCTATTGGTAAATCGATAAAGCTTGCCTTATAGCTTTATCAATTACTAATAGAGTTATCGACATTCTAATATATATCGAACGTCTATATGAACCCGATTTGTATCCTAAAAGTCTTCTATTATACAGTCAGACCACCCTAAGTGCACTTCTTCGGGACCATAGGAAAAAAATCGAAAGATGTGCACTTAGAGAGGGTGTGCATTTATAGAGAGCAAAATATATAGAGCTCTTATAAGCTAGGACCGGACTATGCCATGCATTTAAAGAGAATTTACATAATCCGTGCACTTAGGGAGGTCTGACTGTACCTCTGTTTCAAACCAGCTTCATATCGGGATTACGTGATGCCGTTTGCAACCTGATTTGTTTTCATTTGACCTGAGTACATTGCTTTCCTGGGCATGCTGTATAATGGTAAGTATCAGTAAAAATATGCAACAAAAAAAAACACATTAAAAAAAGCAAACTAGAACGTTCGTTAATTCATTATACTGTATACCAGCTCAATCCAAGATCTCCATTCTCGGCGTCATTCTACGTTTCCCGACAAAGTACAAGCTTACAAGAGAATACTCAACTTCAACTTCTTCGAAGCTGACTTCACTAAGCTTGTTAGATGCAAACAAATCAATGACTGGGTAAAATCGCGACAAATACTTAATGAGAAAACTCACCACATCACCACATATGCACATTTCATGCTTGTTAAATACTCAACTTCACCTTCTTCGAAGCTATCTTCACTAAGTTTATCAGTGCTTATTGTGGCTTTATTCATAAGACATTTAGATGTATTACTGATCCGATCCTTTACTAATTCTTCAATGGTTTTTCACTTGAGATCAGTTCCTAATTCAACTGACTGAATTGTTATTTCGAATAATATTTAAAAAAGACAAATAAAATTTTATGTATTTTACATAATAAAACCTCATTTCTTCTTTTGTCAAACGTGTAAAAATCGGGTATATATATAATAAATAAATTAAAAATCCCGTGACTGATGATTGACCAGTAAAATCGTAGCATTTATTAGTCTTATTAGCGTTAGTCATAATAATAATATAATTTTTTCTAATTTCACTAGATTTCAAAACCCTAAACTAACAAGGCTTCTCTGGTACGTACAATACTTCCACTAGATCTAACCCTGATTCGCTAATTTTAACTTCATATTAATAACATTAATCTTTGTACTTGCAAGCTAAATATATTTAAAAAGCAGCCGGAAAAATGACAGTTTATCAAATAACAACAATATTACTCAATTGTATTTAGAAAATAACAGGATCCTTCACAAATGAAACAATGAATGGGGGGAAAAGAGGTTTTGCAATCATATATTAGGCGCGTTGGTTCGATAGAATTAATAGAACGTATTAGAATGTCGCACTTAAAGTGATTCGTGATTCAAACAAAAATATGCAGGAGCTGAATAATTTTTGTGAAATTAGGTACGAGGATCCTTCTTTCTTGAACTGTTTTTTGAGTATCAAGAAATAATTATGGTGATTATATTATTGTTATGTATTTTGCAATAAAAGGTTCGTCACGACAAAAATCTTGTACAAGTATCACAATGAGGATGGAAAGATAAATTGAGTCTATTACAATGTATAACTTTGAATCTCAAGTCGATTCATTCGCAGGAACTCGTTCACAGAGATTTTGCACAGTGAAAATATAAGTAACGCATATATCCTGATTTTGGACTTTCTAGAAAAGTAAAAGAGGGAAAGGTTTGTGGATATAGCACGTGGGTCAGCTGTATACTTGGCAACTGAGATTTAACTAACAATGAGCCTGCTAAAGAAATGTGTAATTTTTATAATGAAGAAAGATTGAAAGGTAAACATTTCCGTCCAATTCTTAATACGTTAGAACAATTTCCAATAAAGCAGCAAAATCCAGTTAATATTATCGATTTTTCCTTAGATGATCAAACCAATCCTATGATTCAAATCGTCCTTGCAAGTTACTATCACTATGGTAAATGGGTTAAAAAGATGAACACAAAGTATTCAATTATTACCAAAAATTAGCAGAGATGAAAGATTCTTGTGAAATATTTTTTGTCGATGTATGTTATCAAAATAGAATTGGAATGAAAAGAATGAACATAAGGCATTCATTCATTCTCAAAATCTGCAAAGGTGGGTCTCGCTAGTGGAATGTCAAGAGTTGCAGAATGTTATCGGGATTTACATAAAGAAAAATACTGGTACCGAAGGCAAATCTTATTTAAGTTTAATTTAAGCATGTGTATTGTATGTATCACAATCAAATTACATGAATAAGATGATTAGCGAATGAAGCATTGAAGGGCAATATATAATGGTAGTAAGATACTGATTTAATTTCACCAATTAATAAATGTTCTTTATTATTACAGGCTGGATAAGACAATTAATGTGAATGAAGTGATCTGAAGGGCATGATGTAGTGGTAAGCAAGCATTTATGTTCTTGGTTGTGGACTTGACTTGCTGACTTTAATTCCACTGATTAATATATAAATGTTCTTTATAATTACAGGCTAAATAACAATTAGTGCGGATGCAATAATTTGAAGGGCATGATTTAGTGGTAAGCAAGCATTATGTTCTTGGTTTATGAACTTGACTTGCTGACACTTTAATTTTCATCGTTTAATAGATTTTCTTTATAACTACAGACCGAATAAAATGATTAATGCGAATGAAATTATTTGAAGAGCATTATGAGTGGTAAGCAAGTATTTATGTTCTTGTTTGTGAACTTGACTTGCTGACTTTAATTTCAAATGTTCTTTACTATAGGCTAAATAACAATTAGTGCGAATGAAACGATTCGAAAGGCATGATGTAGTAAGCAAGTATTTATGTTCTTGGTTTGTGGACTTGACTTGCTTATTGATTTTAATTCCACCGATTAATAAATGTTCTTTATAATTCAGGCTGAATAAGACAATTACAATGATTTGAAGGGCATGATTTAGTGGTAAGCAAGCATTTATGTTCTTGATTTATGAACTTGATTTACTTATTTTAATTTCATCAATTAATAAATATTTTCTATAATCACAGTTTGAATGAGATGATTAACGCGAATGAAATTATTTGAAGGGCATTATTTAATGGTAAATAATTATTTATGCTCGGTTTGTGAACTCGACTTGCTGACTTTAATTTTACCGATTAATAAGTGTTCTTTTATAGTATAGGCTAGATAAATAAGCTTAGATAAATTGGTTGTGTATTAGGATTAGAATCAGAAAGAGCGTATACATATAGTATATATTAGAGTATGTAAAAGAATAATAAAAAATAAAATAAATAATTTTTTTTTATTATAAATTTTTATTGCTAGAATTAGACTCTATAAGTCTTAAATTTTTACACTTTAAATATCAATTCTAAGTTTTAAACCAATGGGTAAATAAGTTGATTAGCAGGTGGTCGGTTCTTAACTAACAAGTGAATTTGTGGTTGGTTTTAACTAGCAAGTAGGGCGAATAGTTGATTTTTAATTCCCGTGATCTCAGGCTCACTATGAATTAGACCTAGCTGTAAACCACAAAATTCTTATTAATAAAATGTTTTTTTCAAATATAAAGTATGTATGCGTTTTAAAATTTTTTTCCAGTGTACTAAACCGGAGTCTACTAAAGGTTTTAAAATTGTGAAATGAACCAGATCTGAGTCTTATATACTCACTTCTACGGTAGCAAGTAAGACAGATTTTAAATTAGTTATTTTTAAAGCAATATATGGCTTTAGTGATTTCTAACTTAACGAGCGATCAAAGTTTTTATTACGAGAATAAGTGAAAGAAATCTTCAATATTACGTATACAATAGTACCAAAAATTTTCACATTTCTATATTAGGATTTTTATTATACGCATAATCTTCAGGTGAGTTGCGGATCGTCAATTAAAACAGTTTTCGTGATTTTTAAGATCATGTTTTAAAATATTTGCTGCAGCGTAATAAACCGGATACTAATCTGTCCCATAACGTGATTTTCAAGTAGGGTCAGTGGAAACGGCATGCCACTTATATATATTCAATATACATATGCTTTGGAAATTTTGCAATAAATAGTCAACATACATACAAGATTGTTGGGAAATCTCAGGATTTGTGAATCGTCTAGAATTTTTAGATGGGTTGATATGCTAATATGCTTTTGACATGCCAGGGTGGTACTCTGATATGAAATTTGATATGTGGCATGCCAAATTTTTTAGCTGTGCCACTTACCCTATTTTCAAGACAAAGATCCCATATTAGATTTAGGGTGAGTTGCACAGCAAAAAATTTGGCATGCTGTATGGTATGCTATTAGCCAAAATTCACGCTATGCTATACTATAGACATGCCATAATATAATTAAACCACATTTCGGAATTTTCGGACCTGTGCTCCAATTTTCTCTTGTAATTTTATGTTGGTTGATTTTCTACTCGGAATATTTCAGAATACCAAAATATCAGTTTAATCAGAGCACGGTGTATGTCATATAAGTGGCATGCCTTGTAATTATTTTGGTTTTGGGCACGCCACAGGTATACCACTCACGGTATGCCATAGATGGTATGCTCGTAACCACCATGCCACCCACTAATTAGATTATATTGCAATATAATTATTAAAATGTCATAAAACTATATAAATAAAAGGTCTTTGCCTAATGTTTTTGTTTAATTCGTTATATTTCTAAAAATGAAACAAATGTCTAAAGTACCTATTCAAAGTTCTTTTAAACCTGAAGTATACAATTTTAGATCTCTTAAAAAACATAAAACTAATGATGAATCTAAAGAAGAAATACCTGAAATAGATCGCAAAATTATTTGTTTTCTTAGACAATTGAATTATTCAACACGTAAAATCGGAAAGCTTATGGGGGTAGGATCTTCTACGGTTTCTAAAACATGGAAAAGAAAAGAAGAAACTGGAAGCGTTAAAGATAGAAAAAGGACAGGACGTCCACGACTTCTTTTATCTGATGATGAAAAAGAAGTGTTTGATATATTATCTTCTAAGAAGGGTTTGTCAGCTAGTGAACTACATTTCAATTATACGGTACAAAAAAATAAACACATTTCAAAGGAAACAATTAGAAATGTGTTGAGAAATAATAATTACACCTCTTACATAAAACCTAAAAAACCCTTGCTTAGTAAAGATTCTAAAGCGGAAAGATATAAGTTTGCTGAAGAACATTTGAACTGGACTGCTAATGATTGGAAAAAAGTAGTCTTTTCGGATGAGAGCAAATTTATACGTTTCGGGTGCAATCATCGTCAGTTTTACTGGAAACACCCGGGAGATCCATTTCAGGATGAGTATGTTAAAGGGATGAAAGCATTTGGAGGAGGTGGCGTAATGATCTGGGGTTGTATTACCTCTCAAGGTGTTGGTCATTTGTGTTGTATTGAGAGTAACATAGATTCGGAAGCCTATCGTATAATTTTAGCCAAAGAGCTTTTTGGTACCTTATTACAATACGATTTAAGTGTTGATGATATTATTTTTCAACAAGATCAAGCCCCAGCTCACAGATCAGGCGATACTAAAGATTGGCTTTATTACAGAAATCTTGAATATTTTGACTGGCCTCCATACTCACCTGATCTAAATATAATAGAAGATCTTTGGAGTATAATAAAGCAACGTTTAGAAAAATTACACGAACGAGAACCAGCTGAAACTCTAGATCATCTATGGGATCAAGTAAGAAGAATATGGGGTATGATCGATATTAATATTATTAACAACTTATATGAATCTATGCCAGAAAGAATAGCTGCGGTATATAAACAGAAGGGGGGTTATATATGTAAAAAAATGCTAAAAGAGAGTAAAAAAGAGAGTTAGCGTAATGCCATATATATCTGTATATAATTTATATATTATATTGTATTGTATACGTATAAAATAAAACTTATTAAAATAAAGATTAAAATCAATCATGTGAAAATGATGTAAATTTTTCCATGTATATATTTTTCCTGTATTTCGTTATGAAGTGGCTATGTATGGTTCAAGACCACACTGAGACCACTTTAAACCCAAAGGAATAGATAGAGATCTGGTATGTCGCATAATAAATGAAATAATAACGCATTTACCTTACCTACCAACTAAATACATTCCTTAACCCATATCATTAAATCCGAATCACTTTATAAACATTCATCTCGCATAACCTATGCTTGTAACCCTGAGCTAATTTGACCTTCACGTTAGCCAAGTCTCTCCCACGGTTACAACAACACAAAAATTTGATTACACTATTTAACATCAAATTATTTACACTTAAAAGATCTTAACGATCTAAGAATTTCGAATCCCTTGCCTATTACCACAGATCACAGCTACTCGGGTAATTTTATTTCATTCGCATTAATTAAGATAAGTATATTTATGAATTCAAGTATTTAAAATAAGCCATTTAAACTATTGGAAATGAAAAGGATGAACATAAGGTATTCTATTCACTCATTTCAAAAATTCGCATAAATAGGGAATGCTGATAGAACGTATAATCCAAGTAAGATTTGTTATTTTAGTAGTATGGAAGTTGCAAAAGCTAAACATAAAGTATTAATTTTTTATTAAAATCGGCAGATATGGTAACGCTAGTGGAACATGAAGGAATTGGGAGTTGAAAAGTATGAGTATAAAGCATTCATTCATTTTCAAAAATCGCAGATGGCGAACGCTGATGGAACGTCTAATATAGGTAAGGTTGCTATTTTAATAGAATTGAAAAGGCTGAACATAGCATTCGTCTGTTATTAAAAAATTAGCAGAGATGGGTGATACTGGTGGAACATTAATGTTGCTATAATTATAGCGAAGGAATTGGACTTGACAAAGATGAATATAAGGCATTCATTTATTTCGGGTAGGAAATGTTGATGAAAAATCTATTTCGGGTAAGGATGTTATTTCAATGGAATTGGAGTTGAAAAGGCTGAACATAAGCATTCACCTATTATTAAGAATTGGCAGAGATGGGTGACGATTGGAGTTGAAAAAGGATTAATATAAAGCATTCATTCATTTTCAGAGATGAATGCTGATGGAACGTCTATCTCAAGTAAGAAGTTGAGATGAGTGACGCTATTAGAACATCAATGTTGTATATTATTATGACGAAGGAATTAGAGTTGATTAAACCAGTACTAAGTACTGGTGGCTTAACATTTAATGTTTCTTTTTC